TTGATGAATTAAAAAACAAAAAAATACAAAAACAAAATAAAAAATTAAAATAAAAAAAATTGAAAGTTCTTTAGATTTTTTGTTTTGTTTGGCAAAAAAAAAATACAAAAATTAAACGCAAACAAAGCAAACGACATTTTTACGTGTTTTGTATTTAAATCATTGGTTTTTACTTCTTTCATCATTGGAATGTACCTATATACAAAAGTTGGAATTTTAATCATATTTAAAAATTTCAAATTGATTGATAATACCTAAAATTCTTTTTGTTCTAGAATAAATTTTTAGTTTTTATAATCACGTTATGATTAATATTTTATACCTTCGATTTTCCATAGATAATTAAATTATGTAAAAAATATTACTGATATGAGATTTTGAACTCTTGATTTAATAATCACCAATTCCTCATTCAATTCCCGATGAAATATTTGTCACGTAGATTAAATTTCCAGTACTCATGAAAGAAAGTATCAATCTATTAATATTTTGTTCCAATGTAACAATATATGTATGTATATCTGAAATTTTAAATATCGTTCGAAATTTTAGTAAAAAGTACATTTATCAAAAATTTTTTAAAAAATTTTAATATACACACACATATGTATAAGCTTATACATATGTGCTTATTTACTTCATGTGACTTTGAAATTGTTTAATACACCCTCTGATGGATTATATAGGAAAATAAAATATTAAATTTCGCAGAAGATTTTGTGAAGATAAACTTTATTCAATTTACAACATAGACGCCTAACATTTTATAAGAAATATTTTTGTTTTTTATACTCGAATACTTTGATTACATAACATCAGCGAGAATTTGCTCAATTAAGAATCTATAAAGTTTATATTTTCATGAAGAGTTGAATTAAAATTATATGTAATCATAATTAGAAATTAACTGATTAATTCCTTAGTATGCTAATTGATTGATCATATTTTTACGCGCACAATAGAATATGTATCTAATTCCAATTTCCTATACTTCCTATACTAGGAAGAGAAGTTTTTTTTACTAGTCAAAAAAAAAAATTATTATTTTTATAAAAGTTTGTTTAAAATTGTGGACGAATCTTTTTTTAGGATTACAATGGCAGATTTTATTTTTAATAGCAGAAAAATGATTGATTTAATGCAACTTTAATCTTAATCTATATTATATATTTGACTTTATAGGGATGTATTACTTGCTATAGTGACATTAATTTATTTTTTTTATATGTACATATGTATGCCAAATCTGTATGCATGTAGAAAGAAATGCAACCCTGGAAACCTCTTTCTTTCCCGAACGAAAAGAGAACATGAGTACAGAGGGTGATTTACCGTTTCCTCCTTCTGCCCGTTACAGCAACTCTCGTCTCACAGAAATCGTTTGCGAGTCGTCTCATCCTTCTGACTTGCTCGCAAATCAAACAGTATATCCAGTTATAACAATAGGTAGCCCCTATCAACCAATCGAACAGTGTCCGGAGCGTGATAGGTAACCTCTATCACAGCTTCGATGTTACCACGAGGGAGAGGAATCAGATCCGCTGTGCGATTTCTATGTAATGATAGTATGTAAGTATTATTCCAATTATTTCTTAAATTTTTTTAAATACATACATATTTATTTGAAAATTTTTTTTACATTGTACCCGTATTTGAAAAAATTACAAATTTCATTGAATCTAAAAATGAATGAATGTATTCTATTCTGAAAATGGAATTCTCACGAACTTCAATACCTTTAATCTTCTTTTAAAATATTTCATTGGAAGGAATCAATTGAAAAGCTATCAAAATTTATATACATATGTTTGATTTTTTTTTTTGTTATGGTTCAATCATTTTGATCAATTTATGCACAACAATATCAAAAAAAAAAAGACTGAATCGAAAATTAAAATAAGCATTAATAATAATATTTAACAACATGTACTCGTATGAACATGTACACTAACAATTCCTGTATGTTTTATGTGCGTGTACAAGTATGAAATGTAAATAATTTCTATTACATTCTATTATCAAACTAATTTAAATCCAATATTTTTTTTTTTCGATTTTTTTTTTTAATTATAAATTTTGTATCGGTATTATTGATTAATATTGTATCTGTGAAAATAATCGATTACTTTTTTTTAGCATTTCGGTTAATACAAACAAGAACAAGTAAATAGAATCGCATTAATTATATATGTATATGTATATACATATATATACTTGGAATACATTGCATAATCTTTTCTTACAATAATCTTGAATAAAGCAAATTACTATTACTTATTTTTACATTATATTTTCTAATATATACTAATACCTATATGTAACAATAAAACTAAATCAAAAAAAATATTCAATTTAATTCTCTTTTTTTTTCTCAATTTGAAAAGTTCCACCAATGATTTGAATACAAAATCAATTAGTTGAAGCTGCTGTTGGTCAAACAATAACATTAGAATGTGAATCAAAAGCAAATCCCAAATCGATTAACTATTGGATGAAGAATGACACAGTCATTGTTCCAGGTCAGTATACATTCATATATAATATCATCTACTATTTATAGTAGTAGGGTATGTTTTAGCTTCTTATTTGGCGGTTTATTCAGTTTTTAACAAATTTATAACAAATTTATTATTTATATATGTAAATACATCTGAATATACACTTACAATATATAATACAAAATAATATCTTTGTTAAATTTTGCAGGGTGTAATAATAAAAAAAATAATATGTGAAAAAAAGACACAAGGCGATTTTCAAGTATTGATTTCTTTTCTAAAAAGTAATGATGTCATAATTTTTTGAGGCAACAATACTCACCTGGAAAAAACTCCACGAAAATTTACCCTTGTATGGGAATTTACAGGAACGATTTTCAAGAATAGAATTGGAAAATTCCTAAAAATGGAATAATAAATTCGTGAAAGAAATTTAAATAAATTTTTGAAATATTAAAAATTAGGATATTGTTTTTTTTAGTACAAAAATAATGAAGAAATCATGAAGAACAAATAAAACATAACAATACCTAAATAAATTATAAAAATTTTAAAATTTTTTCATGCTTTTCGATCTGATGGCAAAAATTTTGAAAAAAATAATAAAGAGGGCAGCGAATTTATCAAATACAAACATACATAAGTTTTACATATTTTGGAAATTTCGCATTCACAATAGGTTTCAGAAAATAAAGGTATTGATTTTCCTGTTTTTAAGCATCATATTTCAGCCAATATGCCAGATTTTCACAAAAATTTAACACTGAAAATTTTTATTGTCACAGTGTTAACAATTTCATCGTTAATTCAAATCTGGATGCTTTATAAATTTTAAAATTCGTGAATTAGTATAAATCTAATCAATAGATTCAAACTTTGAACTTAAAACAAATTATTTCTTAATTAATTTATATTTATTTTTATTAAAACAATATGCTGTAGATAAAACATTTTCATATAAAAGTTTAATTAAAATAAAATTTATGAAAGAAAATGTATGCGAGTTATATATTCGCTTACGCCCGGAACACCAAAAAATAAAATTTAACTATAACTAAAATTAAATCGAACGTTGCGATCAAATTTCCATACTTTATTACTTAAACCTATTCTAAATCATTTAATCGCAACGTGATTTGACAAAAACAAAATATTTATTTTAAATTAAAATTAAAATTCAACGTTGCAATTAAACTCCTATATGAAATCATTTAATTGCAACGTGATTGAACTTTTACAGACAAAACTAAAGCAAAGTTCCAAATATTCAAATTACAATATTAAAACTTTCCCATGAGAATTATTCTAAACAATTTTTTGCTTACTAAACAGTTATTTCTTATAAATAGAGTAAATTCAATAGCAACTTTGCTTGGTTGGTAATTCAGTAGCTCGTTAGTTATTAAATCGTTTTGCCGTTTAGAAAATAAAGATTTAAAAATAAAGTTAATAAGTTTGGAATTAGAAATTAAAGTGTAATTAATTAATAAATGAAATAAAAAGAACTTTTATAAATCTTAAAATATTTTTTTTGTGTAAAGTAAAAACTTATAATTTAATTGGCGCAGTCGGTAGGATACCGACTCCGTCTATAAAAACAAAAAAAAAAAATCTAAACAAAAAAAAAAGAAAACACTAATATTTTTCTTAAGTCAATTTAAATGAACAAAAAACTAGAAAATAAAATAGTGTAATGCTCAAACCATTAAGCAAAATTAAATAATAATAATAAAAAAAAAATTTTGTGGTGAACTGAGTGATAAAAGTTTAGTTGTGTAAAGGCGGAGAACTTTTTTCAAAAAGTTAATTCGGTAAATAAACGAACAAAAATTATAAGTAAAACACAAATAAAATATCTATTAAAAGATCTTTAATCAAATCAAATTTTACAACTAATTAAATTGATAAAACAAAAATTATAAAAAGAGAAAAAAAAAAAACCAAAATATTTTTTTTTTAACATTTATGAAGAAAAGTGAAAAAGAAAAATACTTTGATAATCTAAAAAATATACAAAAAAATTTTAACATGTCACTTGCTGCAATTACATTAAAAGACTTGATAGGCGAAGCTCGTTCAGTACCAATTTTTACTGGACAAGACGCCTACAGTCTAAAATCCTTCATCGAAGAAGTCGAAAGTTTAATTGCCTTAGCAGCGGATGCCGATGCAAAAAACTATCTATACAGAATTTTGTACAGCAAGATCCAGGGTCCTGCAGCGGCAGCAATCCGGAGAATTCAGGAAAAAACTTGGGACGAAGTAAAACAACAACTGAAAGCTACCTTCGGAGTACAGAAATCTTATTTGAAATTAAAAGAAGAAGCAGACTGTATAATTTTTAGAAATGTAAGTGATCTTTATGTTAAATTAAATTCCATATTAAATTTGTTAAATTTAAAATATGATTTGGATGACAATAAATCTTCAGAATTTAATCCAATTAATAATGAAAATTCAATATTAGAAAAATTTTTGAATAAATTAAATAGAGTAGACTCAATGTACCTTAGAACTAAAAATGTAACAACATTAGAAGACGCTTATAGAAGCTTATTAGAAACCAATATATCCGACAGCAAGGTTCCAAACACCAACTCTCAGTATAGGAACAATAATCATACAAATTACAGAAATAACCATAACATAAATTCTAGACATAGTAGTAATAATACAAATTCCAGAAATAACTATAGAAACGCAAATAGAACTTTCAACAATAACAATTACAATAACAACATAAGAAACACTTACACAAATAGACCAATGGACAGAAACTACACTACTAACGAAAAGTTTAGGAATTTTAGGCCCAACCAACAATTTGGTGGTACAGGTAATAATCTACCAGGACCATCTTATAACGAAAATCGGTCAAGTCCAGTTCCAATGGATGTAGATTCAGGTTCCACAGAAAATTTTCACTGTGGTCCCCCTATCCGACATTACCCTTAGTAGACTTAACAATAGAAGGCAAAAAGCTGACCTGTCTGATCGACACAGGATCAGTTACTTCAATTATAAACGGCAATATTTTTGATCGATCTAAACAAAACAAATTAGAAAATCCAATTCAATTAAAAACACTCGCAGGAAACCAAGCCATTAAATACGAAATAACTACAAAAGTACCTGACGAGTTCAATGAAAATTCAACTATGTCCTGGAAAGTAATGGATCTTAGCAATAAAAACTTTGACGCTCTCTTAGGCCAAAATATTTTAAGACCAATAGGAGCAAATATTAACCTTTCAAAGGAGCGGTTAGAAATTAACAACCGTAATATTAAATTTAATTCAGCTTGTCCTTTTGAAAACACTCGTCAAATAGAACCTTTACAAATCAACCATAATGAATTATTTGAAAAATTATTAAATAAAAATATGAATAGAGAAGAAACTAAATCATTAAAATATATTTTAAACTCTAATAAGGATCTTTTCTATAAAGAAGGAGATCGATTAACATGTGTCAAAAGTGTAAAACATCAAATAATTACAACTACTTCCCAACCGATTTATAGTAAAATGTATCGGTTTCCAAAAATACATGAAGAGGAAGTAAATAAGCAAGTTCAGGAAATGTTAGAGCAAAATATTATTCAACCATCCAGTAGCCCTTATAATAGCCCTATATGGGTAGTACCCAAAAAATTGGACTACTCAGGGAAACAAAAATGGCGCATTGTCATCGACTACCGTAAATTAAATGAAATTACGGTTGATGACAAATTCCCGATACCGAATATAGATTCTATATTTGATAAATTGGGTCGCGCTCAATATTTCACCACTCTGGACCTCGCAAAGGGGTTTCACCAGATATTAGTGGATGAAAAAGATCGTCTAAAGACCGCGTTTTCTACACCGCAAGGTCACTTTGAGTTTGTACGGATGCCATTCGGACTAAAGAATGCTCCGGCAACTTTTCAAAGGATGATCAATTACGTTTTAAAGGACTTTATCGGGCGAATTTGCGTTGTCTATCTAGATGACATCCTTATTTTCTCTACATCACTACAAGAACACCTCTCAGCTATTAATAAAATATTTTCAAAATTAAGAGAGTTCAATCTAAAAATCCAAGTGGATAAGTGCAAATTTTTCTCTAAAGAGACAGAGTATTTAGGACACATATTAACACCAGAGGGAATAAAGCCAAACGAAGATAAAATTAATGTAATTAAACAAATCAAACTGCCTAAGACTCCCAAGCAGATAAAAAGTTTCCTAGGCATTACGGGGTACTATCGCAAATTCATCAAGGACTATGCGAAAGTAGCTCAGCCTATGACTAAATATTTGAAAAAGGGAAATAAAATCAATGAAAATGATATACAATATAAAGACTCCTTTCAAAAATTAAAAGAATTGATTACAACTTATCCTATACTTCGTTACCCTGATTTTAAAAAGAAATTTGTATTAACAACGGACGCGTCCAACTTTGCAATTGGAGCAGTCCTATCACAAGAAAACCACCCGGTCTGCTTCGCTAGCAGAACCCTTAATAATCATGAATGCAATTACTCTACTATAGAGAAGGAACTTCTTGCCATAGTATGGGCCACTAAATATTTTCGGCCATACTTATATGGTACAAAATTTTTAATAAGAACAGACCACCAACCCTTAAAATGGTTGCATTCACTAAAAGAACCAAACGCCAAACTACAAAGATGGCGAATCAGATTAAACGAATACGACTTCGAAATAGACTATGTAAAAGGAAAAGAAAATCGTGTTGCTGATTTTTTAAGTAGAATGGATTCTACAAATAATGAAATTAATCATATAGATGACCCTAACGAAACACCTTCTAATAATTCAGTTATAACAACAAACCATAGTCGCCATGAAAATCAATTCCCAACATCCGATATAATAATTAATAAATATTTGACGCAGCTTTATTTGACAAAAGAAAAAGAAAGGGAAATAATTATAAAATATAAAAAATTTAGACAAATCTTTATTAGTGAAAATGAAATCAATAATAGCCATTATTTAAATGACATACTTAGACGATTCATTAGAAATGGAATAACTGCTATCTATTCCGAATTAAATGATGAAAAATTTGATATAGTAAAACAGAAACTCACGGAACTCTTTTCTAATAATAATAAAATGAAATTCATAAAATGTACTAAAAAAGCAATAGACATAGAAAATGAAGAAGAGGCCTTAAAATTAATAGAAAAAATTCATAAAGAATCAAACCATCGAGGTATCGTTGAAAATTATACAGAAGTGAAAGATGAGTTTTTCTTCCCTAAACTTAAGGAACTATTTCATAAGTATATAAACAATTGCGACATATGTAATCAATCAAAATATGATCGCAAACCAAATAAATATAGATTCGAAATTTCCGAAACCCCGAGCTCTCCTAATAAAATAATACACGTCGATTTATTTTTCTGTTATAAGGAAATATTTCTTACAATAATTGACAAATTCTCAAAGCATTTAATGGTCCAACGTCTCAATGACCGAAATGCAACTACTATTATACAAGCACTTCGCAACAGGTTTGCACTATTCGGTAGGCCAGATAAAATCGTTGTCGACAATGAGTTCGATAGTCTTAATATCAAAAACTTCTTTAGAACAGAAAATATAAACGCTCACTTTACGTCACCCAGAAGCCATACCGGAAATTCTACAATCGAACGAGCTCACGGAACTTTAAGCGAACACCTTCGTATCTTAGATACACAAAAATCACATTTAACACCGTATGAAAAAATATTATTCGCAGTCGAAAAATATAATAATTCCATTCACTCTGTAACTAAAGTTAAGCCTATAAACTTTGTAAATAACGAAATAACCGATATTGAAAAAATTAGAAAATTAATTGATGAAAATAAACTTAAAACGATTGAAAAACTAAACAAAGATAGGATAGACCCTGACTATAAAGAAGGAGACAAAGTTCTTGTAAAAAATCCCGAAGCTCTAAGATATAAACATAAAAAGAAATATACGTATATTAAATCTAAATTAATTAACGGTAAATTAAAAGATAACCAGAATAGAAATATTCACCCAAGTAGATTAAAAAGAAATTTTAAATTTTCCTCAGGTAACCCAGAAACAAACTCCACTCAACCACTACCACAACAAACTTGAATTAGCACTACTAATTTTACTCCTCACTTCAAATACTTGTTCTGCAAATATTGACGTTCGGGTATTGGAAAATCAGGGTGGATTCCAACTAATCAAACGGGAAGAAATTCCTATAATTCAAAACTATTCTAAAATTCTTTACTTTATAAATATTAGCGAACTAGAAAATACTTTAGCACAAATTGAAAATAATATTTACAACACTTTTAACCAAGACAATACCACATTAAAACAATTACAAATTCAAATCGAAAAAACTCGACATAACATTAAAACATTACTACCACACAGACAAAAACGAGGACTCATTAATTTAGGTGGCAAAATTTTAAAATGGTTATTTGGAAACTTAGACGATGATGACAAAACTGAAATTGTAGAAAACATAAAACTTATTGAACAGGGAAATTACAACTCCATTCAGACCATAAATAAACAGATTAAAATAAACGACCAATTTCAGAAAAACCTAAATATTCTACAGAAACGAATTAACGAAAACCAAGAAATTTTAAATATTACACTGAGAGAACAAAACAACACCTTTAGCAAAAGCATAAAAAGTTTACAGTTTCTTTCTAGTTACACAAATATTAACTTACTAAATTCAGAAATAGACAAAGTCCAACAAAACATTCTTTTCGCTAAACACGGTATCATGACTCACTCCATTTTATCCAATGAAGAAATTGATGAATTTGAAATCGATGTTTTTAAATATAAAGAAATAAAAAGTTCACTTATTAGTCTAGATAATAATATTATTTTTGCCATTTTGATTCCTAACATTGCAAAGGAACTTGCAGTTGGATATAAAATTATTCCAGTACCTAACAAAAATTTCGAGGAAATAAACATTGAATCTACTAATATATTGAAATTTAAAAATGAAATTTACTTTAATAATAAACAGAATTGTGAAAATAAACTAAAAGTAATAAATGGTTGTATAAAAAATTTAATGAATAATAATTTTAAGAATTGTACAAAAAGAAAAAATATTAATTTTGAGATTGTGGAAGTTTCATCTAATATTATCTTAGTAAAAAATGCAAATAATGTAATGTTAGAAAATACTTGTAATAACATACAATACAAACTAATTAAAACTAACTTAATTACATATTATAATTGCACTATAAAAATAGATGACGTAATATTCAAAAACATAGAGAAAAAATTAACAACCACATAATAATACCAAACTATTTAGAACCTTATAATGTTAGTTATATACCAAATTTAGAAAATATTAATTTGAAGCAAATTGAAAATTACAATGAAATAGAATTTGTAAAATTTGAAATTAAAAACCATTATATTTTAATACTGTCAAATATCTCTATTATATTGCTTTTAATAATTTTTATTACAAAATACTATATGAAAAAATTTTATAAATGTAAAAAACGGCCAAACGATACAAATGAAAATAATAGTAAAGGAAATATAATCTCTGGAGCTCAGGAGAGCTTCCAGCTTAACGAGGGGGGAGTTATATATTCGCTTACGCCCGGAACACCAAAAAATAAAATTTAACTATAACTAAAATTAAATCGAACGTTGCGATCAAATTTCCATACTTTATTACTTAAACCTATTCTAAATCATTTAATCGCAACGTGATTTGACAAAAACAAAATATTTATTTTAAATTAAAATTAAAATTCAACGTTGCAATTAAACTCCTATATGAAATCATTTAATTGCAACGTGATTGAACTTTTACAGACAAAACTAAAGCAAAGTTCCAAATATTCAAATTACAATATTAAAACTTTCCCATGAGAATTATTCTAAACAATTTTTTGCTTACTAAACAGTTATTTCTTATAAATAGAGTAAATTCAATAGCAACTTTGCTTGGTTGGTAATTCAGTAGCTCGTTAGTTATTAAATCGTTTTGCCGTTTAGAAAATAAAGATTTAAAAATAAAGTTAATAAGTTTGGAATTAGAAATTAAAGTGTAATTAATTAATAAATGAAATAAAAAGAACTTTTATAAATCTTAAAATATTTTTTTTGTGTAAAGTAAAAACTTATAATTTAATTTGCGTATGTCAAAAATGTAAGCAAATAACAGAAACAATAATTATTTATTCACAATAATAAAAGTAATAATTCATTAAAATGTCAAAAAATTTTTCTGCACTTCAAAAAAAAAAAAAATTAAAATGTAGATTTCAACTTTCAACTTGGAAAAGTTTTTAAATTATTGCATGAAAATGTTTTTATTGTACACTATACATATATGAATAATGTGTTATTTGTATATCACATGAATGTACATTTCGTACATGTGTGAGCATTGATTCATTATTAATTTGTATGGGTTGAAAAAAGATTTATTTATTTATGTATTTTAATTTTTTTTTTGGAGACAATATAAAATTATATTCTTTTTAAACTGGAAATAAATCAAAAAAGTTTTTGAAATTTTTTTTTTTTGTAATTTTATGTTAAATTAATATGTCCCTGTAATTGTCGCTGTGGTTTAATTATTTAACATTTGTAATAAAATATCGTTTGTTTTTTTGTTTTGTTTTTTGAAAATTTAAAGTAGGAAATTATGGTTCCTTATGTAACTAAATTTTCTTATACGGGATTTTTTCTGGCATTGAAAAGACGAACTTTAAATTAAAATCTATCGAGTATGGTAACAATTATTTGGACATTTCCAAAAACATATGCATGTACATTGTGAACGGTATTTATTTTAATTCTTTTATTAAGCTGTATAAAATCTAGTAAATAACTGATTAAAAATATGCTTTTAAATTATTTTTTTTTAGATTGTAAAATAACTTAATCAATAATATTTAGTACAAATATTTCTTGTTCACTCTATTTGCAATTACCTATGTATTTCCAAAAATGTAAATAAAAATAATTCCGGGCAGGAGCCGAACAACAGGAGACAGCTTACAAATCAACAAAACTACATAATAGGAACAGCCACTTTTACATACATATATTATAAATCTTTTTGCAAGATGGATGCTAAAATTGTTTGAAAAATCAATTAAAACTACTTCATATTACAAGGGACTAATCCAGGTCTTGAGAACTTGGACTTGCACAGCGGTGCAGCAACAGGTTGTTATTCAAACGTTCTTAACTGTGGAGAAACGTTCTTAATTCTAACAAAATGTGGAGAGATTTTGAATGCAGGTACTGCTATGAAGATTTTAAGATATAAACAAAATTAAGAAAATCATGGAAAGGCGGAAATACAGCAAATAAAAAATTGAAAACTGAAGGAAGAAGGCAAATTTAAAGGTAAAATAAAAAATTACGTAAAATCTAAATGTACCCTTGATATATGTAAATGTGATTGAACTTTGTATATAAGAAACGATATAAAATATTTTATCTAAATACAAAATTGAAATTCATTTACGAGTACCTATGCATAAAAATGAGTGTTTCGGAAAAAATACTTGAACTTTAAAATTGTAAATAAACTAATAAGAATATTTTTTATAAATTTTCAATTGTAATTAGTCGGAAATATGTATGTATGACATCTTGAACTTAAACATCATCTTCAGAATTAAGAATTGCAACAAAATTAAAAAAAAAACAACTTAACAAATTTTAAATTTATTTAAATAAATAGTTAATATTTACGTATACATACATATGTATATAAAATTGAAAAACGAAAAACTTAAGCAATAGTTTTTAGATTTTTCTTTTCTTTAAAGCTATAATCAATAAGTATAATATGTAATCAATGTAAATAAATTTAATAATCAATTAAAAATTTAAAAGAGTTTCATAATCATAGTATTGTCTATACCCATATTGAGAATATCTTTGATGTATTATTTAATATTTTTTTGATATTTACTATTAAAATTATTCAAATAACTTACAAATTTGTTAAATGAAAATCAAATATTATTTTAAGATTATATTTCCGAGTAAAGTATAAAGCTTTTTTTTCAAATTAAATGCATTCTGATAATAAATGTTGAAAATATGACGATAACATACTAATGAGAGAAACTTTACAAAAAAAAAAACATAATAAGAATTAAGTATCAAAAATTTTTATTATTGATATTTCTTTCCAATATTTGCATTATGAGTTTATTAATTTATTTAAATAGAAAATAGCAAAAATTAAGAAAATATTGATAAATTTTTATTACATAAGAAAAGTTTTGCAAAATTTTATTACAAAATTTCCGCTATTATTTTAAGTATAAACAAAATGATGTGCAGCTACACAACAATTATTATATTTAGGGCCTGATCATCTCTGCTAATTACAGAGCTACAAAGATATTCTTATAAGAATTAATGATATTTATCTTAAAATAAAAAGAATTTTATAAGAGGCTAATCGTGTATCTCGCTTTTTTACTCACTTTTTAATTTAATATTTAATTTTTCCTATAAGATTACTCATTTTTTTAATTGGATTTTTGAATTTTTTCTTAAAATATCGATTGAAATTTTGTATACATTTTAGAATAAAATAAGAAATACAATACCGAATAATCCTTCTCAGTTGAAAATTACGGTATACAAATATGTGATAGTTACTTATTTTCCACTCACTTATCAAGTAAAATAACGAAATGCACGATCAATCCCTAAATCGCAAATGCATAAAGCAGCAATACATTCTTATTTAGATTAGGATTTTACAAAAATTAAGAATTAACATGAATTTAATAAAGGATACATACATAAATAGGTACATACACATGTAAATTCAAATAGATTTAAAAAAAATTTTTTTGAAAATATTATAATCAACACTAACTATTCATTAGACATAAGAGACATTTAAACGTTTAATAATTTGCAAAGAGATTGCTTCTTCAAATAAACTTTAACTTAAAAATTTTATTGAAAATGCATTGAAACTGTGGGAAATAACTATGAGAATGTATTTGAAAATATTCATAAAAAAATAAAAAATTCAGAGCAAAAAAGTAGTGGGATTTTCCAAAAATTCAGTTCTAACTTAGATGTAACGCATGTTCGATAAATCAAAACTACTAAATTTTTTTCGATTTTAAAATCTTCGATAATTCTTAACAAGTGAAGAAACACGTTCGAAAACTTTCCTTAATTATACGAAAATTGTACGCATACACTGAAATTACACAACATATACATAGATCGTTCGGAAAGTGCTCGTTGTACACTTTACATTTAAGATTTTCTTTGAATTAACGAAAGTTCCCCATACTTAATTTATCGAAAACTTGCCACCTTTTAAATGAATTTATAAAAATTTTAATTTTTACTTTTACTTACATATATACATACATATTTGCTCATTTATGTTAAATATTTTAAAAATTGATTGAATTCAAACTTTTTCAATAAAACTTATCAAGTAGATATCGGTCCATTTTAAATTTAATGTTTTTATATTCTAATATCAGATTGTCAATAATACTTGTATTTGCTTATTTGAATTTTAAATGCATTATTCTTACGTACGTTCATCAACACATTTACAAAACAATCATAATTATATTTTTGTTATAGAAATTTGACATAAACAAATAAAATTTGCCTTATAGGTAGTATATTGAAATTATCAATGTGTATATTGTAACCTACACGTATTTTAAAAGTTGTCAGAATTACAATATTGTAAGGTGAGGTATAAAACTTGCCTATATATCTGTTATATAAAAATGCGAAGTGTAAAACAAAAAACAAAAACCAAAACTCATTAAAAATACAACATTTGAATGCATAACAAGTACTTAAAGCATGACAGTAATTAGCATCTTCCGAAAAAAAAAAAAAAAAAAACAATTACAAAATACTTACTACAAAATCACAAAATAGCAAAATTAAAACCCACTATTAAAACAGCCTTAAAATTTATGCGTCAAAAACCATAATTGTTGTAATAATGTCATTTCATAATAAAATAAAATGATGTCATCAATTGAATATCAATATTTTAGGTATACTATGTACATACATACATTAAAACTTGTATAAATTATGGATAGAATAGTATAATTTATGTACATATACACTCCAGGTTTATATATAACCATAACGAGTTTGATAATTACGCCAAAATAATAACAGTAGTAATGACAGTGAACTAACAGTCAAAAACTAAGGAAAAACTTATGTATATTTTGTTTAGATAGGTTTTTTTTATTGCGTAAAAGAATTTTATACACATATATATATATATAAATATACCAAATTAATAAAATTGTCTTCTAGACATTTTAATTGTATGACAAATTTTTTGAACTCGTTTCAACTTTATGAATGTTATACTCAACGTATAGTCGAAATTTGAAATTTACATACACGACGCTATTCATATATGTATATACATGTATTTAACGTTTATTTCCACAAATAATAAAATTGTATAATATTATAACGTACATACATCATTACAGTAATTAGTTTTTCTAAATAAATACATAATTACAAATTGTTATTACAATAGTTACACTTAATTTGACTACAGATATTTTATTAAAATTATTGTTGATTCAATTAATCATAGGTTTCTTTAATTTATTTACAAATAAGTATTTAAATGTGTTTTATTAAAAACTAAACATTCAAAATTATAATTAATTTTCATATATCGTAATTTTTATGCTTTTTTAAATATGATGCTCAAGCTTGCAAAAGAATGGAAAAAGGGGGGGCATACTTTGCTCTAACGACGGTAGAGTTAAGGGGTATTAAACTTTCTAACTGTGTTGCACTGCATTGTTACCTCGCTTACACAAATCTAAATCTACTACAATCTGCATCGTAATTTTTATCGAATACTTGTATACGCCATGTATATCGTGCACAAATTTTTGGGGTTTAAAGCATCTTATTTAATTATTAAAATTAGATTTAAAAGTTTAACGATATTTTTATATATTAAACTAAATTTTACCAGCCATAATTTTTGAATAAATTTCGAAAACAGGAAATTTTCTCTAACGCAAAAATATATTTTGTTAAATACGCTAAAAAACCAAGTAAAAAATCTTAGAGAAAATAAATCTCTTAGCATAAAATTACCAATTGTAAACGAAAAATTAAATTTCAAACTTTTCCTCACAATAGCTATTTATAAAAAATGCATATAATTATGAAAAATACGTAATAGAAAAATTCAAAAATCGAAATCTGATGAATCAATAACTTCTTTAAGCATAAATCACAATAATATGTTATTTATTATACCACAATAACTACGTAAGTAAATATTTATTTGAATATGTAACATACCCGAGGCTTTAAAATTCCAATGTGTTAAAATAAAATAAAAAATAAAAAAAAAAGTGCTTCTCTTCGTTGATTTCTAGGAAATTATTTTGAAATGCATTCTAAATAAAATTTCCATTTGTAATGTTGATAAAAAAATATTATTTTAGGCTATAAGGTTTAATTGCGTGTCAATGCATCGGAAAGCCGAGATAACATATAATTTTTTAAAACTAATCCGAAGCAAAGAATCAATTTTTATGAGAAATGAGAAATTTTTCTCGAAAATTTTTGGATAAACCGTTTTAGGAAAATTTATTTTATAGAAAAATTCTTAAGTTCCAAATGACATTTTGCCTTTCAGAATGTTTTCTGCAAGGAGTAAATTGTATGACAGATTATGGTACTTTTACAACTAAGCTAATCATAATATTTCAACTGAGAAGTGACTGAAAAAGTTCAGATCTATAAAAGTAAAAGCTAACCTTTTCATTCAAATATTTTCGATAAGATTTGATTTGATATTGATTAAAACTACTTAAGTTGAAAACAGAACAAGAGTGAGTTTTCGCGGCGAAATGTAAGAATTCATATAGAAAACACATGCTTAAACGGGACTGCGCAGAATTAAGCGAAATTACCATCGCGAAATTTCACCGTCGGCAATTGATTTTGCCGTTCAGTTCTTGTTCTGGGTTTAAAAAGGAAATCGTCCGTCGTTGCCGCTCACCGCTTTGGTGTTTAACTAATTTCGTACGAAAATAAATAAGAGCATATAAAGTTATTTATACATTGTATAACATTAAATCCTCTACCCAAATACCTTATAGTTGATTCAAATATTTTATATATGATTGTTTCCTGTTATATTTATTTCCAAAAAAAAAACATTTTACCATGTAATATGTGCACAGTTTGATAACATTAAACAATAAATTTTAAAACAAAGAATGTTAGATATGTACGTACAAGTAATTATTGTTTCGACAGTTATTGCCATTTGTAAGTAATAATATCGTAAAAATTCTAATATTTTTTTTTACAACAATAAGTATTATTATTCTGATTAAGACACTCTTGGACAGTATGTGGTATTTTATAACAATTACTGTTGTAACAGAAATGTCAAAAAATTAAAAATAAAATATTATATTAACACCTAGGGCTATGTAACTAGTACAAGTTAGTAAATCTTTATATTTATGAAAAAAAAGCAATATATGTATAAAATAATGTATACAAAAATTGATATGAGAATAGATAACAACTGATCGACACGGTATTGCCACTAATGGAAAAATACTTGTCTTCAAAAAATTTTAAATATACCATTTTATAACGAGTTAAAATAAAATTATTTTATTTAAATTAAATTGCAAGTTTAAAATGGTAGGCAAAGTGCTAACAAAATTATATATTGCGATTATGGAGATTCTATTTAATTAAAATAAAAATTTGGTGTATAAACGTTCAAATATTGATCAAGAGCTTTGTTTTCCAAACAAGGTTTATGATTAATATGTCATGTCAAAATGGAATTGTAATAAGAACTGCATTAGAGAGAGGTCATTCATTGGCACGTAGAACGTTAAAAATTTGGATTTTAAAGTTAATAAACACTATTTAAAATTATTTAAAATTTATTATAAAATTTAAAATAAATGAAATAATTATGTTATAAAATTTGATTAATACCCTTTGTTTTATTTTTTATACTATGGCAACACTTGTGTAGTTCAAATACATTTATAATAGTAGCAAGTAATAAAATAACATTTTTTTTTTAAATTATTCTAAACCATCGTACGTTTTTCTCAACTATATTACTATTAAAATAGTAACTCTCGTAAATATGAGACGATACTGTTTCATTTTCTCTTTCTCTTTCTATATACTTTTCAACAAATTATTTTAAATTGTTATATTGTCACAAAATGAAAATATTTAAATTTAATACATTCTTAGTTATTGTCATGACATAAATACAAAATATATTAACATTATAGTATTAATATTTAAGTTTATATTTTTAATATTGTTATCGTAATGCATTTAATATCGTAATTTTTTATATTTTACTTGTACTATTAATAATATGTGTATAAGCTATTTTCTTTTTATTTTTTTAACTATTTTTTGTTTAACATATTAAGTATATGTATGTTTTTAATAAAAATATCCATGTGCATGTGTATATAATGAGAATTTTTACATTTATATATGTATGAACATATGATCGAACTTTTTATTTATTTACACATTTTTTCTTTTATTTTGGATTTATTTTCTTTTATTGTTTTGTTTCTCTTTTTTTTTTTAAAGTAAAATGCGGGGATTCAATTAGATCTATTTCGGAAAAAGTATCATATTTTTTCATTCAGTTTATGATCAGAAACAGTCGGGTTAAGTTTAATAAATTAAATTAATTAATTTAATAAAGAAAAAATTAAAAAAAAAAAAATTAATTAAAAAAATAAGAGAGGGAAATTTTTTAGTGTACAATAAAGAATTCTAAATTCTAAATTAAAAAAAAAATAAATTATTGGAAAATATTCTTTTTAATTAAGTTAAATGCACGATTTCGAATCAAAATCAAAGTTTAAATAAAAAATTTTAAAAATTAATTGTGTTAAAATAAAAAATAAAATTATTAAACATTTTTCTGAAAAAAAAAAATTCTTAAATTTTTTAGTATTTAATTCTTAATAAAAATATTTGCAAATAATAAATAAAGTGAAAAAAACAGCAAAAAACTTTAAAGATTTAGAATTGTCATTTATATTTAAAAAAAAGGAAAATTTAAAATAAAATTTTAGAAGAAATGGATAAAATTGAAATTAAAGAATTTTATAAAGGAAGGGACGTTTTTATAACTGGTGGCTTAGGTTTGTATTAAAACAATTATGAAAATTTTATTGTTTTTATCATTGTTATTTTGCTTATATACTAGAATTATTTAGGATTTGTAAGTTTGTATATGTTTTATACTTTTACAATTGCCATTATTTCAATGAGATTCATAGAAAATATTGCATTTATATAACAATAATATCAATATAAATTTAAATAAATTAGTATAACAGTGTTAATTTGGAAAAATATTATTTAAATAAAATAAAAGTTTAACAAAAAATAAATAGTCATACATAGATACAGTTATTTAAAGGAAATTTTATAATTATATAATAAATTAGCAATTGCATTAAATTTAGGGACGAAATATAAAATTAATTTAAGTGTTACCGCATATTATTAAAATTTAAAGTTATTATTGAAAAATAATAAAAATTATAACATATATATACATTATATATAGGCAAGATATAATTAATTTAAGTAGAACATTATCAAGTAAAATATTTGATATTGTAAATATGTATATAATAAGTTATTTACAGTTCCTATGAAATTTTTCGTAAAATTTTTACAAATGAGAGTTTTATGGAACATCTAAATAACTTACAAAATACGAGTACATATAAACATGTATATTTGATCTGTTGCGAATTTTTCAAGTTTTCTTATCTTTTATAAGTTTTATTAGTTATATTATATTTCTATTAATTTTCAAATATTAACATTGTTAAAAGCAAATGTGTGATATATATTTCTAAAGAATTGTTCGTTATGATTTTATTGAATTCTTGTAGACAGTGTTTGCAAATCAAATTTGATTAGTCGATTTTTTTATCACTTAAGTTATTTTTTTATTATTGTTTTTTAAAAAGAAAAATTAGCTTACCAAATATAGTCGAAAATTTTTATATGTAAACAATCAACAAATCAAAAATATTTAAAATATTAATCGTTTCAAACTAAACTCATACATTTTTGCTTAATTTGCTAATGTTGCCTTCTTAGTGATTTATATTTGATTTTATTATTTAATTTTTAATTAATTTTTTGATCTCTTCTAGAAGCCTTTTGATTTGATTTAGTAATAATTTCGTCTTGATTTTTTTTTAACAATCAATAATATATTTTATTAATTATTATTATTGTTAATACTTGATTGCATTATTTTTCCAGTAACACTTGCCCTTTTTCTGTTTATTATAATTTAAATAAATTATTATTAAATATAATTAAATATATGCTAAATATATGATCAAATATTTATAAATATTAAAAATAACAATATTTAAAATGAAAATTTAATATAAATTGAGAATTAAATAATAAATTTGGTTCTTTTGTTCCAATCCTTATTTTGTAATAATTATAGTTTAATAATTTTTCAATAAATTATTATGAAAATATTATTTATATTACAAAAATTTAATTTAAATAGGGTAAATTTTTTAAAATTTTTTAAAAAGTTCTAACCATTATCACTAAAAATTTTGTTATATAATATACAAGTTTATATAAAAATTATGTCATATTTTTCAACCAACTAGATACCCATACAAAGTACAAAATTATTTTTTTATTTTTTTGGTATAAAATTAATTGATCATCTTGTAAATATTTTAATAACCTTTTTTTTTTTATAACAGTTCAAGTGATTTTTCTAAATAATTTCAAATATATTATAAATAAAATTGTATACAATATAGTTAAATGTATTTTAAATTAAAATATTTCTGTTTTGAATCATTAATTTTGTATTGCCATAAAAAAAATTATGTTTTTTTTCTTTTTCAATTTTTTATTGTCTATTAAGTATGTAGCTTTTCTTCTATATCCATAAAATTTGGTTATATTGAGGTAGATATACTTATGTATATACATAATTTTATAGATTTTGTAATTAATATTTAAGTCATGTTCAATACTTTGTCTTATATTAAGTTGTATAATTTATATCATATTCTAAAATAATATGTCTTTTGATATTTAAAAAAAAATTGAGAATTAAGAGGGTTACTATATATAAATTTTATTCTTTGTTAAAATATTAATAAACTAAAGGATAGTGAGTTTATATAGTGAGATTATATAGTGAGTTTTGTATAAATATGGTAACTCTTTATTTTTTTGTTGTAAAATTTAAAATTTATACTCAATTTAACTTGTTCTTCCAGCTTTTCAGTACAGATTTCTATGTGAATTTGTTAGAAATATATATGTATATATAGTAATAAAATACAAACGAACTGATATAACAAATATAGATACTACGTTTATCTAACAATTTGAATAAAACTTGAATAAAACCCTCTTATATAAAAATGTACACTATATACATATATGGAACATTTCCTAATTTGTACGTTTATATAATCAAAAACACGTGCTTAATATTTTGAATTTTAGTTAAAATTTAGGTGTATCGACAATTTTTTATTTCGTGAATAGTAATTTTTACCGATCGCATACAATTAAGGAGGTTACGTGATGTCACCAAATTTCGGATGTCGAATTTTCGGTGTAAACAAACATTTCCATGGTAGGGAAGCATAAATAAACTGTTTCTATCGATTTATCTGTTATTGTGTGTAAAGAAATAATCAACCAACTTCCTTGAAATTTAATATTTGAATTCTGGTTGTTATCGAAACTAACTGGCACAGTTTTCAGAGAATTCTGATGGCACGAAACAAAACTCTACTAAAAGTAAAATTTACATTTTTGTAGATATCTTAAGTTAAAGCTTACTAACTTCCTTAAAATTGGAAAGAAATATTTGCAACACATTTGGTAAACTAAACAATACACAATGTGATCCGTTATATATCGATCACATCGACCTTTTTTTAATTAGAATCTAATTTAGGAATATTGATAATAACGAGTTATTCTGTTTTTTATATTAGGGCACAAGTGTTCTATTATATACACTTCATTCATATTATAAAAATAGGCTTTTTCCAATAAATTTGAAATGATATAGTAAAAAAGTATATATATGGAAAAACTGGTGTTAAAAGAAATTTAATGACACGTTAAACAGGGTAAAGCATTTACAAGAAAAAAACAAATGCCAATTTGTAAACAAAAATAATGCGTAAAAAATAGAATCTTCTTTAAAACGAAATTCTAATTTCTATGTTTACTTTTCCAATTATTATGCTCAAAATTACTTTCATAATATTATTATTATAAGTACATACATGCCGTCATTAGCTATTACACATAATTTTAACTTTAAATAATGTATATGTACTTATGTAAAATTTTACATATTTCTAAATTTATATATAATCTATACATATATATTTATGTACATACAATATATTTAATTTAAAATAAATAAATTTTGCAATAAAATTTTAAATACGATTACATACATAAATAGTTTTTGATATTGTGCACATTATATATCAGTTTTATTGATATATTTTAAAATACATTTTAATATTGTACTATAATTATAACACATTAGCTAAATAAAAAACAAATTTATGATATTGATCTTCTAATGTCATTTTAAATAACTTTCTAAATTTATAATTTACAATAATAGTTTGGCATTTGACATCAATTTTTAATTAAATCGTTTTTTTAATTTAATATGTCTAAAAAATCAAAAAATTTATTACATTACATAATGTATGTATGTACATATATGTGTATATTTGTAAAGAAATTGTATAATATTAATTAGAGCTCTCTTGAATGATTAATTTACTATACAATATTGTTACTTTCTAAAAATATATATGTACATATGTTATACATGTATGTAAAAGTATATAAAAATTTTGATGCTCATAAATGAATATATGTAGGTATCTATCGCATAAATGTTTAATAAATCATAAATAATATTATGCTGTGTTCCATATGCTTTATGATGGCACGCAATATAATAGGAAGTTAAATATATAAATTACATTCTAAATTTAGAAATTGCACACTAATTAAATTATACATATATGATTTAATTGAAATTATATTAGAAAAAATCAATTGATCTTAAAAGTGTAAGTCATATATAAAATTATTTTGTTCACTTTAATTATTTTAATTAAAAATTTAAAGTTTAAATTTAATTTAATTGTTTTCTTTTTTTCAAAGATTTTTTTAAATTAATTAGGTGAAATTTTTCCTGTATAACAAACAACATATTATTTCAATGTTAAGAATTTTGTATATATTCGAAATAATTAAAGTTTGTATAAAAGCTATTTTTAATATAACTTTAAATTATGTGGTTTATATAAATGACAGTCGTATATTATGTCAATCTGAATTATGTGTGTATAAATATTTATTTATTATTAATTCATTTATTTGTATTACGTCAAATCAAAAAATAATGCAAGAAATGTAATTTATTTGTATATTTTATGCAAAAATCTAACACCTTTATAATTATATCAATTTAGTCTAGTACCGTATACGAACAAATACAATAATGAATATATTTCAGGAATGGTGTTAAATATCGAATTAAGCATTATATTAGACAAGTATTTCTAAAAATTATTGAAACATCCCCTATAATATTTTCTAAGAATTTTTGCTATTTATTGTACAATATTGACTGTTTTAATCAATCAAAATAGGACAGTTACATATCATTATAATTACGTTACATATTATTATAATATACTATATAATAAACATTTAGCATCTTTGTGCCATTATTATTGTTTTAACAAGCTTAAACTGAAAAGTTTTATAAAAAATACATTTATTTTTTTTTTTTTGTAAATAGCTAATTATACATTAAAATATTAAAAATTTGGCACGAAATAATTCAAGAAATTTATGCAATTCTTTGACGTAATTTTAAATTTTATACAATGAATCTATTTTAAAAAATTTTGCATTATACATAATATATATCAAAATCAATTAAATTTCAAATCACAAAAATTCGTGATAATCGCTTTTATCCGGTTTAATGTTTTCATAAGAAAATATAGATGCTTTTAGTTTTTTGAATAAAATTTTTAATTAATTAATTATAAAATGCATATATAAATGATTCCAT